ATAACATAAATTAATGCTATATATTTATTTACCAAGTATTTTATTAATACCATGAAAAAATTAAAAAAAATATATAATTAATAAAGCCAACCATATTAACTACTTGAGAGATTTTGTGACAAAGAGAGTATTCAAATCACACAACAAATTGAAGTGAGAACTACCTCGCAATGTCCTTGTTTGACAATCAGCAGTTAGCGGTTAACGTTAGCGGATTATACAAGCGGATTTGACCAGCGAATTTATTTAATTATTAACATTGGGTAGAAAAAATGACCGCCAAATTATTAAATCAAATGAATGGTTCTGTAGACACCGAAAATTTGAACCCAATAAATGGACAGACAAAATTATTATTGGGCCGATATTGAGATCGATTATTGGACCAATTTAATTAGTTGGGCCATAATAATTAAATTAATTTAACGAGTCCAATTAAATTTGATTTGGGCTATTGAATTAATTAATTAATTGGCCCAAGCCCATTTCATATTTGAATTTGAATTATTATAGTTATAATTTAAATATAATATTTTATTATATTTAAATTAGATAATTATAATTTAATTTGAATTTGAATTAGATTATACAATAATGAACTTGGACTTGATCTTGGGCAAGGTTCATTTTCCTAATTAGTTAATTAATTAATTAGTTAACTAAAAAGGGGAGTTGGTTGAGGAATTTTGGTTAAGCTTTTGGTATAAATAGAGCCTTCATTTCATTCCAAAAGACACTTGAAAGTTTGAAGAACTTGAATGCTTAGAGCTTGAAGGCATTGAACAACTTGAAGACTTAAGAAGTTGAGAGCATTTGAAGAACGCTTGAAGGCTTGGAGGCATCTTTTGAATATTTTGCAGGCAATTTGAATCCATTGCATGTACTTTGGAGCTTTGCAGAATTGATTGTCTCGAAGATCTTGAAGTCTTTTGAAGGCATTTGAGGACCTTAAGGCGGCTTGAATCCATTGCATGTGTTTTTGAAATTTTGCAGGATTGATTACTTCTAAATCCTTGACGCTCGTTGTTGGGAGTCACGCCAATTAAATCCCGGAAGCTACGCCAATTGAATCCCGGAGGCACGCGCCACTGAAATCCCGGAGGCTACGCTACTTGAATCCCGGAGGCACTTCCATAGATAACGTTAGTGAAGAATCAGAGGACCATCCAGAGACTTGTACCCACACCGCATTGATACTTGATATGTAAACCAGAACTTTGAATTTCTAAATATATATTCAATTTTCTTTGTTTACAGGTTCATATTGTTCAGGTTTTAATTTTTTTTCTTTTAAGATTTTCTAATTTATCCTTAATTATATGATTATCCATTTAACTTTTCCGTTAATTCACCATTAGTCTAATTCTAATATTAAAGTCTAATATAGAATTATAACTACACCATTAATCTAATTCTAATATTAAAGTCTTGAGTTAATACCCAAAATCGTCCTCGACTATAGTGGTTTTTCTCAATTTCGTCCTAAACGACTTTGGTGACCTAATATCGTCCCACACTTTTGTGTTTCGCTCAATTTAGTCCCAGACTTTTGTGTTTTTGCTTAATTTAGTCCCTCATTTGTTATTCTGTCCATTTGGTGTTAAATAAATAGACAATTCAGTAATTTTAATATTGGCATCTCTTTACTCATAGACATGTGAACTGCGAAATCCCTTTTTTTTTTTTACGAATTACTCCCAGAATTACTCCTAAAACTGCGAATATAAAATTTGATTCGCAGGTCCGGGAGTAATTCTGGGTGTAATTCGTACAAGAAAGAGGAATTTTCCACTTTACAAGTTGAAAGTAAAGAGAGATCAATATTGACATTACTGAATTGTCCCTTTATTTAATACCAATTTGACGGAATAACAAATGGAGGACTAAATTAAGCAAAACACAAAAGTGTGGGACGATATTAGGTCACCAAAGTCGTTTAGGACGAAATTGAGAAAAACCACTATAGTCGAGGACGATTTTAGGTATTAACTCTTAAAGTCTTAATAAAACTTAACCAAAAATCCTAATGTCGGAACCTCCTCAAACAATATTAGTATATATTTCATATTTTATGCCCTAATTTTTATTTGTTCTCCCTTATGTCCCGTATTTGGTTTCAACCATACCTATACAATTATTTTATTGACAATTATAATCAATATTGACTATATTATCTTGCATTTGTAAACTTAAAATTACCTATTTAACCTGCACGGGCTTAGCTCAATGGTTTAGTGGGTAGTATTTGGGAGAAGAGACCAAGGTTTGAACCTCGGCGGCGGCAATGCGTGAATTATGTCCAAAGTGGGCAGATTCCTTGTGCGTACCAGCATTTGGCCCTATCTGCTGAAACATTGAGTCACCGTGATTTATAACTTCCCACAATGCTCTGTCGGGTCGGAGTGTGGGAGGGGGGGGGGGGGCGGCTTGGGGTTGGGGACTCAACCTTTGGGAGAAGAATTACCTATTTAAATACGCAAATTCAACCTTCAATTATCTATGCATGAACAATTTCAATATAATCTTGCCTTAATATACTTTAAAGTACTTATTTTAAAAAAAGCATTGGGCATTATCTCAATCGCGCAATGCGCGTAAAAAACTAGTACAAAAATAAAACTAATAGTCATAGAGTCGATCAAATAATTTTCAGAATAATGTGCTTCCAATGCGGCAATGTCAGCAGTCAAATACTTCGTCAATTTCATACGTAATATGTATTTATTTAAAAATTTAAAAATAATGTACGACATCAGTTTTATAAAATCAACGTCGTATCATTTATTTATTATTTAAGTTATGATTACGTCGGATTATCAACATCGTATTTACAAAATAATTGATGTTGAAAGTGTTTTTTTGTGATATTGATAAATCTATAAACTATTTTAATGGCTCTTACCAGTAGATTCTGATTACCAGTAGATTATTCAAAGTGAGGATTTTAATTTCATATGTATATATATGTGTGGATTTTAATTTCATATGTATATATATGTGTGTGTTTGTATATGTTAGCATGACTAGTATTTTGTTATTATTATTTTATAATAATGTATAGTCATAGTTTAGTGGTGTTAGATTGATTGACTTAGCTTCTCTATTAGTTAGGATTAGTTAGAGTTTTATTCAACGATATACTCTGTAATCCTATCATTGTGATAATTGAATTGAGGTGAATTCTCTAATCTGGTATCAGACAGGTTATTCAATCCTCTCCAACCTCCACCACAAAATTTTCCCCCCCTCACCGGCCACCATCTTCTCGATGTCGATGTCATCTGAGCGCACCGCCTCCGACGCCGGAAACTCATCACCGGCCATCGGGAATTCGCTCTCCGGTGCGCATCACTACATAACAATGAAATTAACCCTTAAAAACTACCTATTCTGGAGGATGCAGCTCCTCTCTTTCCTCCGCGGCCAGGACCTCCTGGGGTTCGTGGATGGCAGTTACCCATGCCCGCCGGCGACTGTTCTCGGCACTCCGTCAACCGGCGATTCGGCGACGACTTTGACTGCGGCAGTAGCGGTCGCCAATCCGGCGTATCACGCCTGGGTCAAACAGGACTAGACCATTGTGTCTCTTCTGGTCTCGTCCATGGCAGACGAGGTGCTGCACCTTGCGCTAGGCCGGGAAACGTCAGCTGCGATATGGACCTCCATCATCGGCGCACTTGGGTCCTCCAGTCAGGCCCGCTGTCTCACGTTATTGAGTCAGTTTCAGATGCTGCGTCAAGGAAATTCCACAACCGCCGATTACCTCGGGAGAGCCGGCGTCCTCGTCGAATCTCTTATTCAGGCCGGCCGGCCCCTGACTTTGATGGAGCAGAATCTTTACGTAATTAGGGGTTTGCGTCCGGAGCTTAAGGCGCTGGCGACGTCCTTAACGGCTACAGGGGCACCGGTGACTCTCACGCATCTTTCTGATTTCTTACAGGCCCATGAATTCATCCTTGTGGATGATTACCGGTCGCTTGATGCCGGCGTTTCTCATACTGCCATGTACGCCGGGACTGGCCGTGGCTCGCATGGTGGTGGCAGACAGCAGCAACGCGGTGGACGTTCAGGCCATGGTAGCCAACACCGGGGAGACCGCGGTGATCGAGGTGCGCCGAGATGCCACTCTGCCGTTCGCATGGGCATTCGACGGTTTACTGCTATAAAAGGTATACAACACAGCCGCCGCAGCCTCAAGCACATGTCGCAATGTCCGGCGAAATTTTGGCATCTCCGTCGACTATTCCGGGTGATGGGTGGTATCCGGACACCGGAGCCACCGCTCATGCAACCCCGGACGTGAACATGCTTGGCCAATCAGACGAGTACGGCGGATCAGACGTTCTCAGAGTGGGTAATGGTGCAGGTTTGTCTATTTCGCGAATTGGTCGTGCAACTATCCCATCTCTGTCTAAATCTCTGTGTTTGAATGATATTCTGCATGTACTGAGTCTTTCTGTTCCGTTACTTTCCGTCCATAAATTTGCAGTTGACAATAACTTTTTTTTTTGAATTTCATGATAATTGCTTTATTGTGAAGGACTCTACAACCAAAGCAATCCTTCTTAAGGGACCAACTTCGGGCGGGTTGTACAAACTCCCAGTGTCAAGACAAAATTTCGCGCCAATAGGTGGACTCTACGGCAGTTAGATGTGCACAATGTCTTCCTAAACGGGCATTTGGCAGAAACCGTTTACTTGAAGCAGCCTCCGGGGTACGAGGACCCCACGTCACCTGAACATGTGTGTCACCTTCAACGGTCTCTGTATGGCTTGAAACAGGTTCCACGAGCTTGGTTCAAGTGTCTTCATGATTTTCTATTATCTACAGGTTTTAAATCATCCAAAACCAACGTCTCCTTATTTTACTATGCTGCTGGGGACTCTCGAGTATTCCTGTTGGTCTACGTCGACAACATAATAATGATGGGCAATGATGCTAAGCTGGTATTGAGACAATTGCATCAGGCGAGGGTTTTATTTTGTCCCAACGTCGTTATATGACGGATCTCCTAGGACGTTCAGGGATGGTTGACTGTAAGCCCCTCACTACACCAGCAGCTGTCACTAAACTGGTAACACCTTCTGAGGAACTATTCGAGAATCCGACGCAGTATCGGCGCATCGTTGGGGCCCTACAGTACTTGACTATCACTAGGCCACACTTGGCATATGCAGTCAACCGGCTGTGTCAGTTCATGCACTCACCAACAGTTGATCATTGGGCTCTTGTGAAACGGGTCCTACGTTACATCAAGGGGACACTCGACTACGGACTGCGTCTCACGTCATCTCCTTCAACCAGTATTCATGCTTTTCCCGACTCGGACTGGGCTGGCTGTCCAATAGACAGAAAGAGCACCAGCGGTTTTGCAGTTTATCTTGGGACTAATCTCATTTCCTGGCTATCCAAGAAACAACGCACTGTCGCACGCTCCTCCACTGAAGCTGAATACAAGGCCTTAGCTGATGTGTCTGCTGAGGTCACCTGGGTCGTGTCACTACTACGAGAACTAGGGATGCATTCTGGTCAGCCTTCAACTATGGTGCGACAATCTTGGGGCTACTTACCTATGTGCTAACCCCGTTTTTCATGCACACACTAAACATGTAGAGACCGACTATCATTTCGTTCGGGACAAGGTTGCCTCGGGGGACTTCGTCGTCAATTATGTGTCTACTACGGATCAGTTAGCAGACATCTTCACCAAACCACTTCCGGCACCAAGGTTTGCTGCTTTACGAGACAAGCTCAATGTTGTCTCTCTACAACCTTGTGCTTGAGGGGGTGTGTTAGCATGACTAGTATTTTGTTATTATTATTTTATAATGTATAGTCATAGTTTAGTGGTGTTAGATTGATTGACTTAGCTTCTCTATTAGTTAGGATTAGTTAGAGTTTTATTCAACGATATACTCTGTAATCCTATCATTGTGATAATTGAATTGAGGTGAATTCTCTAATCGTATATATGTAGGGGAAATCACAATTTTTGTCCTTCAATTGTATCTCAACTATCAATGTAGTCCTTAGTTTTCAAATTAAGCTAATTTGATACTCAAAATTCTAAAAATGGGAAAATTACCATTTAGGTCTTTCAGAAGGGTTTAATTGACGAAATTTTAAATAATTCAATGATCAAATTAATTGAAATTGAAAACTAGCTTAGGGACTACATTGACAATTGGAAACAATTGAGAGACCAAAATGATGATTTTTCCTAAGGATGGTTATATATATATATATATATATATATATATATATATATATATATATATATATATATTTCTTGCAGCGTCTGGTGTTTTGTCAACTAAAGCACCACCGCTTGCAGCATCAATCATGCTTCTATCAATTGGAAAAAGTCCTTCATAAAAGTACTGAATGAGTAATTGATCACTAATTTGATGGTGTGGGCAGCTTGCACATAGTTTCTTGAAACGCTCCCAATATTCATACAATGACTCTCCATTGTTTTGCCTTATACCACAGAATTCCTTTCTAATGTTGGCCACCCTTGAAGCTGGGAAATATTTTTCAAGGATTGATGTCTTTAAGTTATTCCATGTGGTGATGCTCCCAGAAGGTAGACAGTATAGCCAATCTTTCGCTGAATCTTTCAATGAAAAGGGAAATGCTCTCAACTTGATTTGTTCCTCAATAACCCCAGTGGGTTTCATACTTGAACACACCACATGGAATTCCTTTAAGCGCTTGTGAGGATCTTCACCTGCAAGTCCATGAAAAGAAGGCAAAAGATGAATTAATCCAGATTTTAATTCAAATTGGACATTAGCGTCCAGAGCAGGGAAAGTGATGCATAAAGGTTGGTGATCTAAATTTGGAGCTCCAAGCTCTTTTAAAGTCCGATTTTGAGCCATGGGTTCCTCTTCTAAACCAGAATTGGTAGAATCGGTAGTCAGATTACTAAACTCCAATTTTCTCAAAGCTTGTTTCATCCACCTGCGTATAGTTCTTTCAATTTCTGGATTGTATGGCAAGACTTCTTTGTTAGCAGATCGAGTTATAGGCATAAATCGTTAAAGATAGTGCAGCGATTATGTAAAAGTAACGAAAGAAAAGATTTTTAAATTTTTTTTTTTGGGACAAATGAAAAACAATTAAACAAATAACGAAATAAATAAATAAATAAACACAAAACAAGCTAGAAAATCTCCCCGGCAACGGTGCCAAAATTTGGTGAGCTGTCGTAGACTCCCAAATTAAAACCTTACAAATGTAGTAGCGGGAGTAAGGATCGATCCCACGAGGAGTAACTAGTTTAATGTATGTGTTCAAATTAAAGTAAAGGGGGTTTTGGTATGAAGGTGATAATCAAAGAAAATAAACGAATAAAGCAATGAAAACAATATATTGAAAACACTCAGAATAAAAAACCTTGGTTAGTAAAGATCCACCTAGGGGTGGGCGTTTCGGGTTTCGGTTCAGTTTTTTCGGTTTCGGTTTTAAAAAAGTTAAACCATTCGGTTTAACATTAAGATTCGGTTCGGTTTGAAACGGTTCGGTTTCGGTTCGGATTAAATTCGGTTCGGTTTAAGCTCCCCAAATTTCAACATTTTCTAATTTTTCGAACATACTACCAAACAATACATATTCACATAATCCAAATTCAAACTCTAAACATTATATAACAAAATAGCAATCCAAAGTTCAAACACAATACTAAGTACTAATTACCAAACATCAGTTAACGTTTTTGCACAACCGACTCTTCAGTTGGTTCAGTTGGAATATTTTTATTGATAAGATGAATAATCATCTATCTGTATAGTTGATATTAAAAGAACTAGTGTCAATTACTATATAGTTAATTTTTAGACACAATCTATCATTGCTAGTGCACTCGAAATATATTCCAATACTAGAAAATAATTATAGTGCACTGGAAATCAAAATTAGAATGACTGTAAAGCACATTAAATTTATAGAAAAACATGAAACTAAGGAAAATACTGAATATTGTAAATATAACTCAAGTTAGATATAATTGTGAGGTAAAGAACAATTGCGACAAACAACAAAAGTGCAATGTAGAAAACAAGCTATAAAGAAATCAAATAAAAAATGTAAGGTTCGGTACTAGTAAGAATGAGAACTGAACAGCGGAGCAGGCATCGAGGAACTTGGATTTACTTCTTTATTATTATTATTATTATTATTATTATTATTATTATTATTATTATTATTATTATTATTATTATTATTATTATTATTATTATTATTAATTTTATTATTATTATTATTATTATTATTATTATTATTATTATTATTATTATTTATTAAAAAATTATATAGCATTCGGTTCGGTTCGGTTTTTGCCAAACCGTTCGGTTTCGGTTCGGTTCGGTACTAAACCGTTCGGGTTACAAAATCCCGAATCGTTCAATTTTCTATTACTAGTTCGGTTCGGTTCGAATCGGATCGGATCGGTTCGGTTCGGTTCGGATAAATCGAACCGAAGTGCCCACCCCTAGATCCACCACCGGAATATAACATTGATCATTGATTCATAAAGCAATTAATATGCAATTGAATATTTTTCGTGAAATTATTTCATTTCCGTTTTCCCTTAGTTGTAGGTAACTAAAACACACGCGGTTTAATTACCCCTAACTACTAAATAACCTAAGACAAGCGCTATAGATTTAATTTAATAGCAGCAATAGGAACTAGGAAAACCGACAAACTAAATAACACAAGCACAAGCGGTTGCATTTAATTTAGGAAAATATTCTACCCGAGTCCAATTATCACTAAGCCGTCAATAATTAACCCAGTTGCTACTGAATATTATAATAATTTGTAGCATAACATTATCTAATATAGCAAATAATTATATCAAGTAAATGACTAGTAGGCCTCCCTAGCAATTAAATGATACAACTATTCAAATAACTTAGAAGAATATTTAATACCCAAATGCATAAAAATTATATAATAAAAATAAATAAATAATCTTACAGCATAATCAATTCCGGGGCTTCAATTCACTAAACCAAGCTAAAAAAATTAGCAATGAATGGACATTGATAACAGCTTTACAGAATAATTGAGAGAGGAAGAATGAACATCCTACAATACTACTGCTATCATCTATTTATAGTATTCTCAAAATAACCTCAATCAATCTCCACCAACCATTTTACTGTTTTTTTAGCCATACGATGAAGTCTTCCGTGAATGTTGCTTAGTCTTGCGTCGGAATCGGCTGTGTTGTTTGACGAATTCGTCTTCTCGCTACTGCGCCTACATAAGAAAAAAACAAAATAAAATATAAAGTTTTAATTGGTTTGCATGCTAAGAAGGAATGGGACCAAACTACTTATATTAAATTAAAGTAATTAACTACCTAACATACTTATTTTGCTTATTAATTATTAAACACTAAAAATGAATAATTATTATATAATAGTAAATAATTAATGCAAAAATATTATAAAGATGTACCTAAAATATGAGTGTAAAATATATCTATCAAATTCCCCCACACTAGAACGTTGCTTGTCCCCAAGCAAAAATATTATTTGCAAAGTAAATTAAAATGAAATTCCCAAAACTCATAACATATCATGAACAACAATCTGAAGCACCTTGTAATTAATAAGGTAGCACCCCTGTCTGAAAATTGAGAGGACTAAATAAGTAAGCCTTCACAGGAATATCACTCATCACTCAAGTGTTTGATGGGTATAAACTTCACTCAAGTTCATTCCTATAAAATTGCTCTACCATAGGCTTGCATATCTTCTCAATCACCACTACAAGAGTCATGCATGACACAAATCATAAGGAATTTCCACAGGTTGTAATGGGACTAGGGTTAAGGTAGGGAATATTTAGGAAAGTAGCTTAAGCAAAAACTTCAAACTAGAGGAGCAAAATATGTGCAAATAATCCAAGATACTTGCTCAACACCCTCAATTTCCATTCAAAAACACAATCTATTGAGGTTTCAACATGACTATCATTCTTAAAAATATAGAATTCTTCCTCAGTATTCCCTTGCTTAACTTATTTGGACGTAACTTCAACTCAAAATTAATTGTTGATTCTTTCTCATTTTCTCATAAATTTTCAGCAATATTTTTCTTTTTCAAACATATATTCTCTATTTTTTCATTTCATTCTTTCAAATTTCCATACTTTTTTTTTTTTTATTTTTTATGATGAACTGCCTTCATTTTTTTCTTTTCCATAAAAGGCCAAAACCAAATTGGCAACGAAGATGCAACACCCGCCCCACTCTCAAAAAGTAAGTGATCTCCCCCACACTTATTCTTCACAAACTCACGTAGATTTCAAGCATAATCCAAAATTTGCTCCACTAGTTATTCAGTTGGGTGAAGGCATTATTTTTAGATATAAAAGGCTTGTGGTTCAAAATAAAGAAAAGAATGGCCATAAAGCTCAAAGTGGTTAACAAGGGGAAATAAATCATAGGACAAACCGGTTATTTGGCTAGTGAGGCTCAAGATCAAATAATGGCCTTAATCACACTTGAATCGTGCATGGTCTAATTAGCTTTAAAAGAGATTCAAGGCAAGTTCTAGAGAAACAAAA